CTTTCCAAATCAACTCCGAAATACCCGGAATTCAATTCCGACCATGCGTACAAGTCATAATACCTTAAGTGAAGCTGGTCATGGCCTCAAACCACCAAAGAACGCGCTAGTGCTCAAAACGACTGGTCGAGTTGTTACATCTACCGATTGAATCCATTGGTATAACCATTTGACTTTTGACCGGTCAAATTATGGTTATTACCTAGAGATATCCGTCGGAAACCAATTTAAAAAATTAGAAATTAAAATATTCAAATGTATCGAGAGAGTCTCACGAAAAGTCCTCGGAATACCGACTTGGAAAAGTCCGTTGGTACTGCTGTATCGGTAAACATCTGATTTTCAGTAGTGCATTAAAGTGGAAACCGCACCTTAGAAATAATATTTTTTCATTCCCAAGACTCGAACCAAATACCTACTGTTAAGGAAGAAAATATCATATCCATCCTACTACAAGTCTTCTTGTGAGGTCCCAATTTTCTTTAGAAAATATTACTAAGTATTTCAAAGTAGAAAAGTAAAATATTTATATAAAAAAGATTACATTATCATTAGAAAATTAGTAATACATTTTAAACTCCATTTTTTTTTTTTCGCTTTGTTTTTTCTCAGGTTTCCATCATTGCAATAAGTATATTGAAATATCAAAAAATTATTCTGATAAAGTCATCAACTTCTTGAATCGGGTTCTATTACTTAAGATCAATAATGTTACAGGAGTGATTAAATGGTTTGTGCAAAATATTATTAAAATTTTTATTTTGAAAAAGCTAGAAAAATCTACTTCAAAAAAATATATAGGATAATATAAGGCCTCCCATTAAGTTTGGCTTTAGGCCGCCATACTTATTTAGCCGCCCCCTGATTATTCTGTATTATTTTTTATTGACTGTTTATTAATTATGGGATTGTCAATTTTACTCCTTTATTCTGGGATAATTTATCCTGGATTAATATTCCACCCTCTGGCAGGTACTCCTATAAAAGTATAAATTATCCTGATACTATTTTTAATCATGGAATAATTTATCATAGAATTAGTAACCAAATAAGGAATACGGCATACTAAATTTTTATCCCATAATTGTTTTTATTTATCCATTACACGAAACAACCCCTTAAGAAATAGTGAAATAGATAGCTTGGTTTAAGATATTTGTTGTTTTAGTAGCTTCTGAAAGATACAGTAGAGTTTCTTCAGATCCGAAGAAAAAGGTCAGAAAAATCATTGTTTAATTAACCAACCAAAAATCCATGAAAATTTTAAATATTTCTAAGAGAGAGAGTGACAAAGAGAAAAAAGACTAGTTCCACATTGACTGACACGTAAATAATTGTCAAAATGCATATATAAAGCATATGCATATACTATATATATACATATTTGTATGATGATTAAGCATTAGTGCATTTTAGAAACATAAAAATGACAAGTAATTTTCACTTTCCATGATTTCCGATTTTTGCTAGGGTATTTCTTTCTTATCTTTTTCTTCTAATTCATGGTCAATTCTTGTTTTTTTCTTTTTCTGGTGAATTGTTTATTTGTTTTAGTGGGTTACTGTTTTTTTTTTTTTTGTGGGTGCGGGAGAAATAGTGTCAAAGTTGGTTCTTGGCGAAGAGAGTTGTATTAGTTCTTGATTTTAGAATAAAATTTGGATTCTTTTTCTTGCTTGGTTTTGAACTCAAAGCTGAATATAAACTGCTGTAGGCTTCAAGATTGAATTCTTTTTTGTGTTAAATTTACAGCAATTCAACAAATTTTCTGTGTTTTGAGGCCTTCTTTCTTGGAGGAAGTTTTCAAGAATCTGACTTGTTGGAGCAATTTTCTGGTTTTCAGATGCTTTTGCAGATATAGAAAGGTATGGACTTTACTTCAATCCATTTTAGTTGAATTTATTTCATTTACCATTTTTTTCCTTCTCATTTGATTGTCCTGAATGTGTTTTACATTGATGACAACATTTCCATAACTAGTGTGTCAATTAATGAAATCGGTGTATTGCATTTCTACAGAATCTGTTAATTTCAAGATGAATACTTTTATGGAAGAAGAAGAGAAGTGGTTAGATTCTAAATTTTGGCATGCTTGTGCTGGTAATATGGTAGAAATGCCTGCAGTTAATTCAATAGTGTTCTACTTTCCTCAAGGACACGCTGAGCACGCGTGTGGAAATGTGGAATTTAGGAGTGATATTAGGATTCCATCATATATTCCTTGTAGAGTTTCGGGTATTAAATACATGGCAGATCAAGAAAATGATGAGGTTTTTGCCAAAATTAGGTTGACACCTGTTAGTAGTAATGAGGTTGAAAATGTTGATGATGGGGTGGTTGCGAAAAGCGGGTTGGATAATGATCAGGAAAAACCCACTTCATTCGCAAAGACATTAACGCAATCAGATGCGAATAATGGTGGGGGGTTTTCTGTTCCAAGGTATTGTGCAGATACGATCTTTCCTCGTTTGGACCACTCTGCAGATCCTCCTGTCCAGACCTTATTAGCGAAGGATGTTCACGGGAAGACATGGAAATTCAGGCATATTTACCGAGGGACACCTAGGCGTCATCTTTTAACTACCGGTTGGACTACTTTTGTGAATTCAAAAAAGCTCGTTGCGGGGGATTCCATTGTGTTCCTGAGGGCTGAAAATGGGGATGTTTGTGTGGGCATCCGCCGAGTAAAGAAAGGAATTGCAGGTGGACATGATACTTCTTTTGTGGTACCATACGGAGGGTTTTCCGCTTTTCTCAGGCATGATGAGAACAAATTAATGAAGAGGGGAAAAGTGAAGGCGGAATCAGTTATTGAAGCTGCAAATCTTGCAGCTAGTGGACAGCCCTTTGAGGTTACTTTCTACCCCCGCGCTAGCACTCCAGAGTTCTTTGTGAAGGCCTCGCGTGTGGAGGCGGCATCGCAGATCTGTTGGTGCTCGGGGATGAGGTTCAAGATGGCGTTCGAAAATGAAGACTCAACGATGAGCTGGTTCATGGGAACTATATGTTCTGTTCAGGTTGCTGATCCCATTCGATGGCCAGATTCACCCTGGCGGCTTCTTCAGGTAATATCATCTCTATCATGTTGTGATCTGTCATATTACATTTCTAGCGTTTGCTCTACGTATGCATTATTATAGGGGATGTAAAGGTATGAGAATCTAAGTTCAGAAACAATTACATCATACTTCTGACCTTAATGTATCTGTTTCTTTGCAAGAGTAAAATGACGCACTATTTCTTATCGTTTTTATTCAGTGAGCTTGTATTCTCTGTAACAAGTATTTTTGATGAGTTGTGACCTCTTGAAGTTGGAGAGTGGGGATTACGGTTATGTGAACTCAATTGAACAATACCTGTGAACATTATTTGTATGATTATGTGATGCATCTAATTCCTTTATTCGGTCCTTTTCCAAGTGGTAAAAGATGTTAAGCTTGATTTTCCAAACAGTGAGCTGATTTACAATTTGATTTCTTTCCCTAGTAAACTTCTGTTTCGCTATGGCAATTCATTCTAATATTCAATTCAAAGCTTACACTTCACGCTAATTGCCTCTTGACTAGGTTGAAAGTATGCTATTCTAGCTACTTCAATATTGTTTATCTCTAAGTAGAGGTGTATTGCTGCAGGTGACATGGGACGAGCCAGATCTGCTTCAACATGTAAAGTGTGTCAACCCATGGCTTGTGGAATTAGTCTCGGACATGCCCACCGTCCACTTTTCTCCCCTCTCACCCTCACAGAAGAAACCTCGATTACTTCAACGTTCAGATTTTCCTCTTGATGGTCATCTTCCTATGCCGGGTTCTCCCGGCAACCACCTTCTTAGTCCCAATATCCCCTTTGGTTGTCTTCCCAACGACACCCCTGCTGGCATGCAGGGAGCCAGGCATACCCAATATGGTTTCTCATTATCAAATCTCCACCTCAATAAACTGCACTCAAGTCCGTTTCCTGTCAGTTTTCCACCACTTGATCATGCTGCTGCAACCCCTAGTCCCTCCAATAGTACATTAATTCCCAAGCCAAGTAGCAGCAATGATATGTCTTGTTTACTAACACTTGGAAGTTCTACTGAAACAGTGACCAAATCTGATTGTGACAAAGCACCACAACTTGTACTCTTTGGTCAACCCATATTTACTGAACAACAGATCTCTCTAAGCAGCTCAGGAGATACGGTTTCTCCTGTTTGTGCAAGGACTAGTTCTTCAGATGGGAATGCAGATAAAATAGGGAGCATATCTGATGAATCAGGTTCTACATTTGATCACCGTGGTCTATCTGAGCAAAATGTAGAGATTGGACAGTGTAAAGTTTTCATAGAATCAGAAGATGTAGGACAAACATTGGATTTATCAGTGCTGGGATCGTACGAGGAGTTATACAAGAAGTTGTCCAATATGTTTGGCATTGAAATCTCAGAGATGCTTAATCGTGTGCTTTACCGAGATATTACTGGTGCGGTGAAGCAACTTGGTAATGAACCATTTAGGTATGTGTTTAACATCCCTGTGTATGGCTTCACACAAACCATTTTGTTTGTTAATTAGTCTGCATTTGTTTTGCAGTGATTTTGTGAAAACAGCACGAAGGTTAACACTTTTAACGGATACAAGCAGTGTAGGAGCGCTAGGGAGCAGAGCGAACCAGTAAAATCTCCATTTTGATATCGAACTGTAGAGCGCTAGGGATGACTCTATTCCTGCACTTTGGTCTTGGAAATATCGAGTAGTAGAAGCTCAAACTGTTGAATGATTCTGCAACTTTTTAGCTCTAATCTTGGACAGTATGTTTACTAGGTTTCGCGATTGCTTTGAGTTTTGTTTTCAGAGAATACCTACAACGAACAAGATAATCTTGCTTTTTGTAGGCTTTGTCTGCTCATTTCTAGACTTGTTGATTGAAGCCTTCTGAAAAAGGCTAAAACTTTTAGCGTGTTTGTTATAGAAATTCTGTCTCGTTTACAGTCTATTGCTCTTTTACAGTTCAAAATTTGAGATATACAAGCGTCGTGTTGACTTGAGCCATTACTTCTTGATCAACATATTATTTCTCTGGATGACAATTTTAGGATTTAAACCAGTACCAAGATTGCCAAAATAGTATACTGTTTCAGGTGGCAATAAGTAAAACCTATTGAAGCATGTCTTGGAAGAATTAGAGCAAATATTTTATCAACGAATTTGTTATATTTCTACGTTTCATAGGGGAAAAAACCAACAATTTACATTTAATAAATAACTATGGTAGCAGCATCGAACACAGAGTCAAAAAGAGAGTTAGGGTGGTGAAGTATTTAGGAGTCAAAATAATAATGTAATATTATAGAGTACAATCTTATTATGGAGTATCAGAATATAAGCACAATAATGTAAGAAAAAATACAAATAAAGAAGAATCCTTTGGCAGCCTGAAATGAAGGATTTCTAAAAGTGGTTTAAGTCAATGTGCCAAAAAAATCTGATTTCTAAAGTTATATACCTCAAATGACATGGATTTTGGCCGGTTGAATCAAAGAAAATAGGTGGCCATGATTTGATCTTGTCTTAACTAACCAAAATGACGTATTAATCAAGAGACTACGTCGTTCCAAGCTCCTCTCCAGGCAGCCCCTTTATGGTGGCCTACTGCATTTTTGGTCACTCAATCGTTTCAACTTTGGCATAATCCGGCTAAATTGTGGGAGAAAATACCTAATCCCTCAATCTTTCTAAATTAGCCTCAATCAAAACCAAATCACAATAAACCACATCCTAAAATACACACAGAATGAAAAATATTTTGGTATTTTTGTGGAATAAAAATACAATTAAAGCGCACATATTTAAGGGAAAATAGCTAGAAATTAACTCAAAACTAAAAATGCAGGAGAATTAAAAATAAGCAAAAAAAAAGTATTTACAGCTACGTGGATTTCGTAATTTATTTATGAGTTTGGATAGCATAAAAAAGAGTAAACTGATTTACTTGTCGTAGCCGAATTTTTGAAATCATTTCTTTTTTATTATTGAACTAATAGATTTGTGGTTTGTGTGTGTGCATGTATTGTGTGTGTTGGTAATTGTTGCAATGCCACATAGAGTTGCAGGTAGTGAAAAAAAATGAGTGAATTAATAGTGTTTTAGTTTTCTAAGATAATTACTCTGTTAAGTGTCTTACTTTTCTAGAGAAAGAGTAATTAACCTAGAAAATTAAGACACTTAATTCTATATAAACCAAAAGGTCTTGGAAACCATAATGTCTCTTTGTCAACAAAAAATTAAAGATCTCTTTGAAGTTCAAAGCATTGCAAAGAAAAATAGTAGGAAAAAAATTGATAAAAACAGAAGTGATCATCATATAATTATGATGTTTTTGAAGTTGAAACCAGACCGACATAAATTTGCCAAGCACATCAACGGCAAACTCAACCATTTCTAAGGTTGAAGCAAAGGAACCAAACACATCCATTGGAGGCCTCAGAAATGCAGCAATGTGCCAAAATGTGGCATCCTTGTTTGACGATTGTGAGGACTATGTGGATGGCTTGGCTGCATATCCATCCATGGTCTGTTGTGCCAATCTACAGACCATGAATGACAAGGTCCAAGTGGAGGAAAAAGGCAGAAACCTACTGCTCGTGCATTGAGTTGTTTAGCAGCAACCATGAGCATCCCCCTTATATCAACTCAAGGATTGAAGAACTGAACATCAAATGTGATGTTCCCCATCTCAAAGCATATGAATTGCACCACTGCAATCTAATTCTCTGGTTAAACAACTTGCTTAATATGTGATACTTTTTTAATTACTGGTAGATTCCATCAAAATTGCTGATAGAGTTTGTCGATTTCTTCACTCGAAAAAATATGTGCTTTTAGTAGTGCAAGTCACATAAATATACTTACCTTTTATTAAGCACATTTTCTTAAAATTTTATTTTATAACTCACGCACATATTTTAACAATGTATATGATATTCTTAATTTTTTTTATTTGACGTGCATCTTTTTATTTGACATGAGATGCACGTGTGTTGCACGTTTGATAAATACAAAAGATAGTTTTATTAAATATACTTGACAAAAGGTAGGGTTTTGCAAATAAGGCTGGAAGTTTTAAATGGATTTCATTTCTTTAAATTTCTAAAATTAATAATACTCGCTCGTAGTATTAAAATATTTGATACGGTCAAATGACGCTACAATTAGTATTTAGGAATCCCTAGTACCAGGGGCGTACGCAACATTTTTTATAAGCGGTGTCGATATTTAAAAAAGTAGACAAAGAAACAAATATAGTAACGACATCATATATTTCAAGATTCTAATTCGGAAGAAAAAGAGAAAAAATAGTAGTAGAACTACTCACAATTATAATTGCAGCAAGCGATTTCGGCGATTTCATAATGAATAGGTTTTCTCTAACAGTGGGGTCTAAAATAATTGAACTCCAATATATTTTATATTGTTTATTATCCTTTTCCTACACAAAAGAGTAGTAGTTTAGTTCTCTTTTTTCCTGCACAAATCGGATGAGTTATTGTCTCCTATATGGCATCTAATACTAATGACGTATTGCTAAAAAATTAAAATCCAAGGAATGAATCTGCTGAGCTCGAACCGCTGACCACTGCCTCAAATTTCAGGGAACTGACCAACTGTGATGACCCGATAGGTCATCTAAAGCTTTAAAACCCTAATTCCCTATTTTGAAACCTCAAATACCTTATTTTAGCTGTCACGACCCAAATCGATGGGCCGCGACGGGCACCCAGTACCTTACTCAACCGAGTACCATCACAACGTATCTTTTCGTATCATACTATCATAGATAACTGAGCCGGAGATGCTGCCGTGAAATAGGTAGAATACAACATGTAATACCAATTTATACGTAAGACATACAGGCCTATAAGGCCAAAATAACCACTCGTACAATGAATATAGGCCGACAAGGCCATACAATCTTTTACGTACATGACATCTGTCTACAAGCCTCTAAGAACCCATAATTTTCATAAAGGTCGGGACAGAGTCCCGCCATACCAAACAATACACCTCTAAATCATACTAACCAAACAAGCAACTCCGAAGCAAATGGAGTGCACCAACATCTTCCGCTGAGCTGATAGCCTACTTGGAGGGCTCTCGACCTGTCTATCGGGACCTGCGGGCATGAAACGCAGCGTCCCCCAGGCAAAAGGGATGTCAGTACAAATAATGTACCGAGTATGTAAGAAATGAAAATCAGTAAGTAATAGACATGAGAGAAACATGGAGTAAAAGACTTGACATGTACGTTTGCATAGCTCTGTGAATCATTTCATTTTTATAATATCATGCATATACGTATAAATGTCATACCATGCATGGGTATATGTGTTCATAACATCATCAAGCCTCTGAGGGCATCCCATCATATCATCTCGACCACTGTGGGCAAATCATCAACGTATACCGGCTGATCAGGTGGTGGTGCGTATATAACGCCGTAACCTTTTACCATATATATATATATATATATATATACGCGTATATAACGCCATCTGGTCATGGGTCAATGTACATGAATGCAATGCATGAGAAGTACGTCAATAAAATCTCTTGGAGTGTCATAAGACCATTATGCCTTCGAATAATATCATGAAGTAAACTTTTTCAACTTATGTATTGTTCTGAGACCCATGAACAGATGATAGAATAATAAGATACATGGGAATTCAAGAACATAGGCACTTCTAATACTTCTATGAATAGAGTCATTTATGGAAGTTGTGCATTTACTCGTTTCGTTTGTGCCGTATAGATCATGCCAAAAGAAAGAAGGGATAGCCTTAACATACCTGAACCGATTCTCTCTTGCGAAAACACGTAATGACGGATCGAAGTAGGAAAAAATTCGTATGATATTCTTGAGAAAGATTGTACCGGGCTTTCTTTGAATTAGCATATCACGTTAGACCTTGTAGTATGCAATATTAGAATTGAAAGATAATAAGTTTAAGGTCTCATCATCAAGGTGTTGAATAAGTTGCAGCTCCAGTCACATACCATATCCAAATCATTGCAAAAGTAGCTAAAGCATTGATTACCATCTATATAACTTGAATGATCCTTGCAAGGGTCCACTGCCCAGGTAGGTAATTTCCACCCAAATACACCATGTAGTTGGCCAAAAGTTCCCATGACCGTGGTAATTGAAAGAACTTCCAGTACATTGCCTTTGTCAACCGTTTAATGGCTAACGCCCGCCCTTACTTCTGATTTTGATATAGAAAATATTTGAATGCCAAGGTTTCATCCGGAAGCATTTTTTGGCAAATTTATGCACTTTTCTCTTGGTTATACATAATCATCCTTGTAAGCCACCAACTCCTCTACACATGCCGCGCCACCAACTCCTCTACACATGCCACGTGGTATATAAGTAAATAGTCATCATGTGGACTTTATATGGCTGCCACATCATGCTTAATTATCCAAATTATTAATTATCAATTTCTTTAATTAATTTGGTAATTCTCCACTAATCCAATAATTAATCAATTATCCACATAATTAAGAATTATCTCAATTTACGTAAAATTCTACTTATTTTTAATATACCCTTTTATATATCATACTATCATGGTCATATGGTACCTTGTATGATACTAGTCCATAAATATCGGGTATTAACGCTCGGCCCGTATTTTATCCCAACATGCCAAACTTGGACGAAAATTCATTCTCTTTGACTTGCTTCCCCTCTCACCTTCACGAATTTACTCATCACGTGTTTGAAATAGCATAATCCTTATAATCTCCAAATAATCTTTTCCTTGGACTGATATCAATTACCTTACGACGAATTCAACGTACAATACTACAGGGTGCAACATCGTCGTAATTTAATACTGCGAAGCGTAAAATCATCGTAATGTAATACTACAAGGCTTAACATCATCGTAATATAGTACTGCATGACGTAACATCATCATAATATAATACTGCGGGACGTAATGTCGACGTAATAT